AAATTCGAAAATGTTGAAGGAGGCCAATCTAAGTTTGGTCTAGGAATATGATTTACTAATACGAATCTATAAACAACTGATATCATGCTTGTAATCTGTGAAGTTTAACCCTAACTTTGTAATAAATCGTGAGCTACTCGTATGTGACGTTTTAAAAAAAAAGTGATAACTTTGAGCATAATGTTTAAAAAAGGAACAGCTGTATTTTTAATCTGACATAAAGGTATGCTGTATTCATATAAATACTCTTGATATGTATAAAAAATGGAGGCAATATTTTCGGTCAAACTTATTTCCCTTGAAATGAACTATTTTCAACATTTTCGCATATGACCTTTTTTGATGTACACATTAAATTAATATTGTACTTTACTTTAATTGTATGGATCTTCATGTTTATTGTGAATACTCATCTTTACACTGTTAATTTCGAAACTGCCATAACTGTTATTGTTAATTTTGTAGTACGTCTTTTGCTATATTATGATTGACCTGTATGAGTGTTGCATGAATGTACGAATACAAATGTTCTTCTGTATTCGAAAGTTAATGCCAGACTTTCAAAGTCTACTATTGCCTGTGCTAGGTTGCATGTTAATAAGCTTTTTATCATAAAATACAACTTAATATATAAGAAATTCAGTTAGCTTTTACCTGTAATCAGCCCGAAGATGAAATCAAATTGAGAGAAACGTATTAAGAGATATAATTTCTATTCGTGAAGCTTTGCTTACAATTCTCACAGATCAATCGTAATAGTAGGTATATCTACTGTTTGTTTATTTTTAGGATCACTTTTGTATATTTTTTACGTTCTTAACGTCATTTAAAAAGAGAAAATAAAGTTTTAAGTTAAGCATATTGTGTGGTATTTGAATAAAACATACCTTAAGCGTGTCTTTACCCAATGTTTTAATTTTTTATATTCTAATTCAATTTTATTGTTTTTGTATTTCTGACGTGTAGCGACAAAGTAATAGGCAAAATTTATCACGGTTCAAGCAATTTATGTTTTTCAAACAATAATTAACGCTGCTTCTACCACCTGTCAATCAACAAAAGAAGACCGATAGACAAAAAAATATTGCTGAGCTGAATCTAGCCGTTATCACTATTAAGCACACAATGCCTCATCTATTTACCGAATTCATCATCAAAACTATACAGCTCGATACCGGGAATAAAATACAATTTACTCATCCAACATATACCTGTACTTCTGTACGTTACAAAGCCAAAACAATCTTATCTATGGAGATAAGCAACGCTATCTATATGAAATTGGCCTCATTCGGATTTGTAATCGAGACAGGTGAATAGTAGTAAATAAGTTTTGTGCAAGCTTTTGTGTAAGTTTCTCAGGAAAATCTCTGTGCAAGATGACCAGTATAGAAACTGTTGGAACTATTGTAATTAAGATTTTGAAAGTGGTAAGTTTCATGTGGATCGAGGCTGGGATTTGTTCAATATTCTTGTTATTGATAGATAATATCAAAGATAAGGTATAGGGTGGGTATAGCGGTGAATGTATAAGTTTGCAATGATTCGTGAAACGATTGCTTACTTATCTACTAACATCCTAATTTGAATCAAAATAATCTTCGGATTTACTTATTTTTAACAGAAAATGAATTTTTGGGACAAGCAAAAAATAACCGTTATAAACCGTACCTATACTGCTGACACAACAGCGCATGTGTGTATATGAGTCATCAGTATGGCTTGGTATAGAACTCCTATACGTACGGAAATCGGTTACTACTAATCTTATCAGCAAAGGGAAAAAGGGTGTAACGCGCTTTTATTTGAAAACTAAGAAGCATAAAACGTCATATTTCCATTCGGAAAAGAATATTTTTGGTTTGTTTTATAAAAAACTTGTGTTTAAAAATTAATTATTTACTTCCATTTATTATGCTTATTGGAACTGCTGGCATTATTATTAAAGTATTTTTTTTTAAATATTGTATCTATCTTATGTTAGCTCCTTCATGTAATACTTACACTACGTGCGAATTGTGAGATAATTTGTTTGGCTCATCCGCCAAACTGACACGTAATTTTCCTCTTATGATTAAGGATTCAAAATATTGTTCCTGTCAAACTTTAACATTAAAAACACAATTTACTTTTATTATGAAGTCCGACTTTCAATGTTCAATTTTATTACGTAAATCTGGACTTGCTTTGATTTCGTGGAAAATGCTTAGTCTGCAATCAATTAAGAACGTTTAGTTTCAATTAAAAGTTTGCTATTTTCTTTTATGTTCATAGATAGTGTGATTTTTGTTAGTAGTAATGTGTAATTTATAATCTTGATTAACCCAAAAACTTCGTACAACTTAGAAGTGTTTTTATTATAAAATACCCAATATATCAACAAATAACAGTCGAAACCCATGAACGTTATACCAATCTCCTTCTTTTGAAAGGGCGCATCTAAATATGTAATGGAAAGTCAGTCAAAATTAGGACATGCCCTATACAACAGTTAATATCGTCCAGATATGGACCTAGATACCGTAGTTAAATAAATTAAACAGTTTTCTTTAATAAATTTCTGTTTATCAGCAATACTCCGTCCTCGCACCGTGGGGACACACTGTATAAGTGTATACATTTGTTGCGGACTAAGATTGATATTGATTCAGCTCCTTAAATCTACACTTGAACATGAACGTATCTGATTAATTCGAAGCTGCCGCCATAAAAAATGTCTTTGCAATTCATACAAGATGAATGTAAAACACTCCCGTTGTAAGAAGAAGGGAGCATTGACTGAAAAAGGTACCTTATGACCAGATGAGTAGTCAACCATCCCTCCATATCGCCTCTACGTGAGGCAGTAGAACAAAAACTGTGTTTAGTGGAGCAGGATGCTGCAGCAACGATGTGAACCTATCCAAAAATTAAAACGACATGACCCGATTTTGACCGTCCTTAATAAACTAATCGATCTCGAATCGAGCTTCTATAACATTACTGATTACTGTCAGTAAAGCGATTAGTTGTTTGGGATCGCTCTTTTAATCCTTACTTTGAGATGGGTTATACACGGGCAAACATCTTTTGGACACGATAGGTAAAAAGACACATGCTCCGCCGGTCTTTTAACTTTTTAATAACAGATCCATAAAATTTGCTGGAGAATAACTAGATGTCGTTGAAAAATCGTCAAGAGAATTTCCGTAGATCGTGTCACAAAGAGACCAATAGCCTCTTCCAGTGTGTGATGTTAACCATTATTTTCTATTTGTTGACATTGCCTGCAAGCCACCTGATTCTTAGAAGTAATTTGCCCATGGTGAGAGGCCACTTTTTCGGCTACGCCACTGGAAAGGGTAGGCAAACCACAAAAACGCGTATTGGTCCTGAATGTAATATTTACCTTGCTTCATTTTTTGGTATGCCTATATTTATTTGCTCTCCATTATACACCTCTACAACATATTGGAAATTAAAAAGATATATAGGATGATAAACGAGCTATCAACATTCTACATCGTATCAAGTTGATGTATTAGACACGCCCATTGACTTATCAAAATGTATCATCACTATTTTTGTACCAGCGCAATCATTTAGGAAGGTAACTAATCAAATATTTCAGTGATAATTCACAGTAAGGTAAACATCGAATTGCTACACATCTCCGTTGAAACATGGCAGTATTTTTGCTTGTTTTAAAAATGGGGTCAGGTGTAACATATACATATATACGCTATCATGATGTTGGATATGTTTTCTGATTCATAAGCTCCACAGAGCAGACGCTGGGCGAAGTGAAGCCTGAGCAAAATACCGGATGTCTATTAAATATCCGATCAACCGAAATACTTGACTACTGTGCATTTTTCTGAAAAAAGGTTTTAAGAATGAGGTTCAGGATATCAGAGAAGCAATTTATCAAGGAGCTCAAATGTGATCTGGATAATGATTCCAGAGATCAAGTTTGTAAATTCAAATAGCAATCACCTTTTTGAAAGCAGATTCGTGCAGAGCTCGAAAGTTTTTAGATCACAGTGCAATTTTATTTTGCAGAATTCTGGTTGCTCTTTGAATATCTATAAACGTGACATGTAAACGACCGATGCGGTCATTATCAAGATAATAGGGCTGTTTCCTCATATGAATAGAACCGAGACGAAGCTCTACATGAATCTGATGTCAAAAATGGTAGTAGTTATTTGGATTTTAAAACTTGACCCTTAAGCGACCTTCGAAGTCATTATGTAGGTCATATAGGGGTATTAAGTAAACTGGTATTCTGAAAGAAATTGTTTTTATTACAATATTTTAAAACAGAGAAACGATTAAAAGGAGATTCTAGAGAGTATGTAATCGCTTTGTAAGGTCCACTCACCACCATCACCTATTTTTTTACTTTCCACGCTAGCTATGTTATTGAGCCATACCAGATTTCTTTCACTTCGGATATATAGTTTCTGTTTGTCTGTTTATTATCTGTTTGGTGATCTTTGGACTCCGGAAAGTACAACTAAGATGAACTGATGAAAGAGCTTTAAAGTCACTCATAATCCATCCAGTGGCGATGGACCTGTCACCAAGTATAAATATAAATACAAAAAATTCTGTTTTCGACGTTTGCAAGATATCTAATTCAATTCGATTTTTTTGGGCTTTATCATTATAGTAAACCCAGAAAACTGACTCACCTAGCTGACAGATTCTTAGAAAAGTTTCAGGAGGCCAAAAAAGGAGTTTATTGATGACCCCTGGTATGACCTAAATAGTGACGTCAGAGCTCATTTGGAACTCAAAGTCGTGAATTCAAATAGCAACCACCAATTTTGACAGCACGAAATTCTACATAGAAATCAATTTTCATACGTGAGGTCAGACGGTCATAGGTGGTAAAACCAGTATAATAAGCTGTAACGTCTGAAAACTACACGAATGCTCTGGAAACTTGGCGTCCACACATTATTTCGAAAAAGGTTTCTGTAGGAGTTTCAGATGATCGAAAAAGGTTTCTGTAGTGTTGTCTAGGATGGTGAGCCGTTAGTCGATCAATACTACTTGCAGTAATAAATATATATTCCAACAATCTTAAGTAACCAACAAATATAACGTCTTATTGCGCTGCGTTGAATCGGTTGAAAGCATTGGCGTCTTGGCGTCGTGTCATCTTCCCCCAGCCACCGTCGATCTGCCGGTCAGCAGCGACAGACATAGAGTGGGACTGCATCTGCCGGTCAGCAGCGACAGACATAGAGTGGGTCTGCACGGCCATCCTGACGTCACGTTCGTCCCGAACGTCTGAAAATATTAAGTTATTTAGGAAACACCTATACCTATTGCCATCAACACCATTTGCTATCGAGGACGACCATTCGTCATCGAGAGCAAAACTTGCCATTGAGGGCGTAACAGTTGCCATCGAGAGCTGAACAGATGCCATTGAGGGCGTAACATTTGCCATTGAGAGCAGAACAATGCCATTGAGGGCGTAACATTTGCCATTGAGAGCAGAACAGATGCCATTGAGGGCGTAACATTTGCCATTGAGAGCAGAACAGATGCCATTGAGGGCGTAACATTTGCCATTGAGAGCAGAACAGATGCCATTGAGGGCGTAACATTTGCCATTGAGAGCAGAACAGATGCCATTGAGGGCGTAACATTTGCCATTGAGAGCAGAACAGATGCCATTGAGGGCGTAACATTTGCCATTGAGAGCAGAACAGATGCCATTGAGGGCGTAACATTTGCCATTGAGAGCAGAACAGATGCCATTGAGGGCGTAACATTTGCCATTGAGAGCAGAACAGATGCCATTGAGGGCGTAACTTTTTACTCTCTTCATTCGCTGAAAAGCTGGTTACTTTAGTTAATACCACATCTCCCACCTGGTACAACCTAGGTAGAGAACGTTTAGTGTTAAATTTTAAATCTTGTTCGATTCTATTGTGTTCCAGACGTTTGGCTGTCTCTTTTCGGATTTTTGTAACATCTAGAGTTGTTTCCATATCGTCATCAGGGTATTTGTCACTATCAGTCCGTAGTTGGAAACCAAACATTACTTCTGCGGGCGTGTTTTGTGTAATACGGTGTCTAGTACTATTCAGTCCTTGTTGTATATGTGAAAGATTAGTATCCCAATTGTCTTCACTTGTTTGCGAACCAGATGTTGCTAAAGCGTCTAGAACTGTTCTGTTCGTCCGCTCACATTGACCATTGCCTCTTGGGAGACCAACAGCTGTTGTAAATAACCGTATCCCTCTTGCAGCAACAAATTCCTCGAAGGCCTTTGAAGTAAACGCAGATCCAAGATCCGTGATGAGTCGTCTTGGGTTACCGAGCATCGCGAACATTTCAGTTAACATTTGAATTACGTATTTTGCAGATGTATCAGGAACTGCTTTTAAATACACAAATTTCGAAAAGCCATCAACAACAACCATTAAATACTTGTTTCCCTGTTTTGTGTTCACAAAAGGTCCTAAATGATCTATATGTAGTGTGTGGTGTGGTCTAGCATACTTTGGGATGGAGTGAAGGTACCCGGGTCTTTTGCCCCCTTTATCTTTATGATATAAACAAGGTAAACATGCATTTATGTATTTTGTTATGAAATGCCTCATTCTGGGAAACCAATACCGTTGCTTAATTTTCTCTAACGTTTTATCAACCGCAAAATGACCTATATCGTCATGGTTTGCTTTGACGATTTGCCATCTACACTTCTTTGGGACTACCCATCTTCTCCCATAAGGTGTTAACTTATAGACTTTGTTCCCCCTTAAATCGTAATTATTAAAAACATCTTTGTGACTCTGAACATCCCCACTTAAAAGAATATTTTTAATTTCCACTATGGATTCATCTTGATCCTGTGCTTCCCTGAGATAGTCATCTTCTTGGATGAGTAGGACTTGTGCTTTGTTTTGAGATTCATTAAAGTTTCGGCTAAGTGCGTCTACATGTTGCATCTGAGTACCTGCTTTATGGTGAATGGTAAAAGAAAACTCTTGTAAAGACAAGACCCATCTAGCAATTCTTGGAATTATCGACTGCTTAGATAATGCGTTCTTTACCGCATTGCAATCAGTAAAAATTTGGAACTGATAGCCTACTAAATAAAATCTGAACCGTTCCAAAGTTTTGACTATTGCTAATAGTTCCAACTCAAAAGAATGATAATTTTTCTCAGCGGTATTAGTTTGCCTACTGAAATACGCTATTGGTCTCTCTTTACCATCTGTACTTTGCATCAAAATTCCTGCAAAACCATCACGACTAGCATCCGTATATACGGTTGTCAGTGCTTTTGGATTAAATATTGCCAAAATAGGTTCTGCACAAATTTTGGCTTTTAAATCTTTGACTATTTGTGTGTGAACTTCTGTCCAAGACCACCGACTTCCTTTCTTTAATAGCTTCGTCAATGGGGCGGTAATTCGCGCAAAATCTTTTAAGAACTTCCGAAAATAGCCGACGAGACCCAAGAACTGTCTCAGTTGATGTTGTGTCTTAGGACAAGGAAATTGTTCCACCGCTTCAATTTTCAGGTTGGATGGTGATATTTGATTGTATGAGATTTGATATCCTAGATAAACTATCTTCTCTGTAAGAAAAGAACACTTTTCGATTTTTATTACAATACCATACTCCTGTACAATTTTCAGTACCTTAGGCAATAAATCTAACCCCTCCTCTATAGTCTTTGACGGTATTAAGATGTCGTCCAAATAAGGAACCACATTAAATTTTCTTAAAGGCATAAGGATTTCATTCATAAATTTCTGAAATACCAATGGGGCATTACAAAGCCCAAACGGCATACGAACGTACTCAAAATGCCCTTCAGGTGTTATGAACGCTGTATACTTCATTGAAGCAGGCTCCATCGGTATTTGATGGTAACCTGATGCTAGGTCAAGCGAGGTAAAATACTTGTAATCACTCAAATTATCAATAATTTCTTCGATTAATGGCATTGGAAAATTATTTTTAACAGTTATTTTGTTTAGCGCCCTGTAATCGACAACTAGTCGTTTGTCATTAGTTCCTTTATTGACCAGAAGAGCAGGACTGGCATATGGTGAATTACTTTCACGTATGATTTTAGCCTCCAAAAGTTCCTGTACCTTACCTCTCATGATTTGTTTTTCTATCTCTGCTAATCGATAGGTCTTATGAGTGACTGGTTTGTCATTGACCAACTCTATTTTTAATGAAACAGAGTGTGCCTTCCCCAAATTATTCAAATTCAAAAATATACAACCTTGATATTGAATTAGAATATCCTGCAGAGTCTTATTATCTTGTTCTGACAACACCCCTGTTTTGACATTTTGCAACCACTGTGGCTTTTTGTCCTTTATTTTGAATATCAACTTGTCATCTATACGATAATACATAATAGTATTATTTTCTGTGAAATTTCTCCCAACAAGAACATCATTGTCTACACTTTCATTAGAAACCACATAAAATTTTGTATTAAGTTTCACCTGATCAATTTGGGTCATTACCTCAACAAATTGCGTAACAACAGTCCCTATACCCATAAATCCTGACAATGTTACCTTCTCCCCAAGAGGTTTCAACGTTAACCCTAGTTCCTGCACTATTGCCAATTTTATTAGAGAACAATCACTACCAAAATCCACAAAAGCTTCTATTAAATTCCCATCTGCCTGGTTCACTTGAGTTCTTTCGTTTCTTGAAACAATTCACCTCAATATGCCCCTTAATTCTGCAAAAATTGCATATCTTATTTCTATGTTTACAATCATTCCGCTCGTGACCTCTGTTGCCACATGTGGTGCAATTTACATTTTGATGTATCGTACTTGACCGGACTATATTGTCAGATGCTCCCAATCGACCACTTTGATTGATTGACTGTTGCACCTCTGATTTTAACGGTTTGCCCCTACCAGTATAAGTTTTGTTCTTCAGATATGCCGCCAAAATATGAGGATTTCGAATATTTGCTGCCTCCACAGCTGATGTTATATTAACGTCATTTATAGCACCTATAATTAATGATACCTTGTCACAATCTGAAAATCCTACTCGTAACTTATTTATTCTCACTATGTGTTCAAAACAAAAATCATATAACGAACAACCTTCGCTGGGTCTATGATTTACCATTTCCATCAACAGTTGATAAGCATTACGTGTACTCTGGAATGTATTTTTCAATATATCCTCCCACTGGCCCCAAGCATAACTAGACCACCCCAAGTCACCCTGAATGAAACTGTCATACCAGGTTTTGGCTGTACCCTTGAGTTTATTCAAAGCATGACACTTAATAAGGCTATCAGGCCACTTGTAAATATCTGCATTATATTTGATAACCTCTAACCACTCTGATATGTCATTAATTTTCGGATCAAATTCTGGAATTACCATCGAAATATGTATTCCCTGATCGGCCCTCGTAAAAGTAGAATAATGTTCGCTACTCACGGTTTCCCTTGACTTACACCTGGATCTCTTATGTTTATGCCCATTACTATTGCTAGAACTGCCGGAAGAACTACTGGTTGTTGAAGACGAGGAAGGTTCTCTTCTACTTCGTTTTCTGGATTTCCCTTGCTTTTGCTTTGGCATCTTGTCCAATCTCTGAGCAAACAACAGCCTGCAGAATATTTGCTAAAATTGGGAACCACCGTAAAACACACACTTCTGATGTTGTCTAGGATGGTGAGCCGTTAGTCGATCAATACTACTTGCAGTAATAAATATATATTCCAACAATCTTAAGTAACCAACAAATATAACGTCTTATTGCGCTGCGTTGAATCGGTTGAAAGCATTGGCGTCTTGGCGTCGTGTCATCTTCCCCCAGCCACCGTCGATCTGCCGGTCAGCAGCGACAGACATAGAGTGGGACTGCATCTGCCGGTCAGCAGCGACAGACATAGAGTGGGTCTGCAGTAGGAGTTTCCGATGATCGAAAAAGGAACTTATTAGTGATCACCAATATGACCCGGATAATGACCTCAGAGGTCATTTGCTTGTAAACTTCGTAAATTCGAATAGCAACCACTATTTTTTACACCAGTTTCGAAATCAGTACGAGATTCTATATAGGAACCAATTTTCATGCATGACTTCAGGTGGCAGTAAGTGGGCAAATTAGTAAGTGAATTAGTCAGAATTCTAAATCAAATCCAAGCGAATAACCACAATTTCTGTGTTATGTGCCGCGGTTATAATATGGTTCAAGATGACACACGGGTTGATGACGTCAGTTACACGAATCGCTTGAACGCGTTGGTTTTAACCGCGGTTTTGTTGCAAGTTGTTTATTTTAGAAAAGCGCGTATATAATCTCTGATTATTTTTATTATCACTTAATAATCGGTGCTTTTTCGTCTACAACTGTATATGGAAAGTTTAAATAAGAAACGTTTCATAATATTCATGGGAGAAATGTTTTTTCAGATTTTTTTTTAATGATGGAACCATGGCTTTGTAACTATGATAACTTTCAATTCTCTAAATTTTTCCGCATGTCAAAGAAAACATTTATTGATTCAGCAGAAATGATGAAAAAAGAAATTAGCAAAACCATATACAGGTGGATATCATCTAGTGAGTTTATATGGCCATATTTTAATATTCTTGTGGTATATGGCTACACAAGATACTTTGTTAAGCATAGGAACTACATTTAAAGTGTCCCCAACAACCGTAATGAGTATAACTAATAAGGTGCTCCACTTTATGGTAAAACTGAAGTCAGCCTGTATCATTTTTCTCAAAAATGAAGCTGAAGTACAATAACAATACCCAATACCCGGCAAAATTCTAACTTGTCACATTTCAAATAATAACCAGAAATATAAAACTACTCTTGAGTTGGGTAAATACCACAATTTTGCGGTGATAACTATGACATATAACAGCTGATTCGTGACGTCACGGATCTTATAACCAAACTGATAACTACACTCGCTTGAACGGATTGGTAAATACCAACCCAAAATGGTAAATACCATTTCCATTTGGTTATCCGCTTGAAATTGATTCTAGTTGATATTTGAATTTACATTTACTTCCAAATGACATCTGAGATCTAGATCATACCACAGATTATTGCTCAATCCCTTTTTTAATTCCCTGAAGCTTTTGAATCAAACTTTTCTACTTTTTAGTTTGACCTACCAATTTGACCACATATAATTATATGACCTCAAATAAAAATACAGAATTCTATCTAAAATTTTGAACAGATCTCGAATTTGCTGCCAGAAATAGTAGTTATTTGAATTTAATATATTTACCCTTAAATGACTGATGGGTAATTATCTATTGTCTTATTGGAGGTCACTGACTTTTTGAATTCGTAAAGACAATATATCAACATCCGAAAGATATTTTTCTCCTAGATTGATATAAATGTCAAAGGAGTAGCACTCCGAGTAGCAAGCTCCATCCGACTGGAAGGAGTATCGGCTGGTGTAATGAAAAACTGAAGAAATAGCAGACCGAAGACATATCCCAATAAAAATGAGTTATAAAGAGTCAGTATTCAGTGGTTTCATTTCAGTAGATAAAGCCATTTTTTAAACGCGCATATTTGAAATCATGTCTCCTTTTTGACAAAATAAAAGAAGCTAAAGAATAAATGGTTCCGTATTTCGGGAGATACAACAGATACAGATACACAAGTTTAGCTCTGAGTTGGGTAGTGAAATTCTCTTTTGGTGAATAGAAGCAGTTGTGTTTTTATGTCACCAGGTGCATTTTATCAGTTGATATGGATGTTGCAAATAGTATGTATATCTATTCTAGGTATTGAACATAATCGTCTTGATCCTCTATCGAACAGGATTTCAAGGTTACTTCCTTGGAGTGGGAGGAACATGGAACCTGAACGAAGAGAAAAATCCAGACGCAGAAATAGTTGCATCGGGAATCTTTGTAGGATATATCATCTACACATTGGTTTCATTGATTAGTATATGTTTTGCCAGCGGCGATCACAAAACGTGAGTATGGCTACACGAACCTACGTATAGCCGCAAAAACCTGTGCTCGTTTTAGGAGAAATGGAGAAAGTTCCAGCGGCCTGATGAACTGAATCTTGACCTTTGAGATTAATACCGATGGTACCCTGCCGTAATACATTTGATCCGCTATGATAATTTTGAAACCATCATGATAATTTGAATGTAGAAAATCGCTAGAATTATGTGTCAAAATTATCATAGCCGAATGTAAGGCGACATCGAAATTCATTTCTACGGTGTAAATTCAGTTAGAATCAGGCCCCAGAGTTATTTTAACTACCTGCGATTATTTTGTCCTCTGACGATTTTTGTAACATTGCTTCGTTTCGAAGACATCTGACGATAAACAAGCAAACAAGGTGACCAATATATAACCGACTGATCTGTCTCAAATATTTAAAAAAAAAATGAATAGATCCAGCTTTTTGTTGTTGTTTTTGATAAAAGTTATTACATATACATATATAAATACCACCACATTAATATTCTGGAAGACAGACAAACCTGGATCCCCTTGATTAGTGATTACATTTTCTATCATTTCTTCGCGAAACATGAATCCATTCCCTAGCTTTGTGACACTGTTTCTTCATCCTGCTGGAACCACAGGATGCAGATCAAATTATCGATTTCTAGGAGACACGAATTTTGTGTCATACCTTAGTAACGCTCGCTAGTGACAGTAAAGGAATTGCCTGGAGCAGCTTCAACAAAAGCAAAGTCTGATGACAGGCTGCAGGTACCATTAATCGTAGGAGAGCCGGTAACATAAAGCCCTAACGTATCTGTTATGCTGGAACCGCACGCTTGCCATTTGCCGCAAACTCCAAACCCCTACTAACGCTTGCCTTTTTTTTGAAGAAGCAAACGTCGCCGTCCACACGTTTGCGGGTGCGTCACTGAAAAGGCAACAGGCAAACATGACGGACGTCGAACTTGTGTCTGCCGTAGCATTTGGCTTAAGCTATTTTTATCGTAAAACCAAAAAAAAAGTCAGATAAAACAAAAAGTACGACCAAGAAGGTGGTTAAACATTCATATGAATCGTACCAGGTAAATGGTATTTGTTTTAATGAAATTGATATTTAGTTTCAAAAATAGTACCTATCACAAACGTATGGATGTGACACAAACGCTTGTGGCAAACTCCTTTTGATTTGCGACCAAAAAACCGACACCCGATCGGATCGGCTACAAGCGCTTGCAAACCAAGCCAAACGCTCTATCCGCATGTTTGCGTTTGTGATGATTTGCGACGATTTGGCAAGCGTGCGGTTCCGGTATTACAAAAAAGATTCTCCACTCCGAGATATACTGGGTGCTCGGGCCTCAATGGAATATGACGGTCGGCGGGTTGCAGTTCCAAGGGGTCAACGGATAGGTCAATATGGACCCCTCGGACAGATGGTCTCGTCAATCACCTGTTAGAAGCATTTCTATGAGGGGATGATGAAGACTGGCCTATACGTATGTCAAAGAATGCTCGATTGGTTGACTTCTCCCCTTTCGGATCGCCCACCGCGTTTTAGTTCGCTTCATTGAATTTGTCCCTACCTACATGTTAGAAGGGTGAAATAAAGCAAAAACTATAGGTAATCAATTTTTCTTGCACACTCGCTGGGTGGGTAGAAAGTTGACGGCCGATGGCTTATTAAAAACAATATGTATTTTGTAAAATTGGAGTTTTCTTTTCAACCGGTTTAGGAGACATGTTGCAATTGAAAATTATCAACGCACGGAGCATAATATTAGTTGTATTTTCAACAACCGTAAATAAATGATTCTCAACTATTATCTTGCAAGTATATTTTAGAAGATGGGACTGAGTAACTTTTAAGCTTGATGTAAGTCAGTGCATTCAGTGAAAAACTTGGTAGTGAATTTTCTTATTTGAATATTTACTTATGCATTTTGATTTTCATGTAAGTAATTAATATACGCTAAATCGCGGTAAGCAAAATAATAATAATAATAATAATAATAATATTAATAATAATGATAATAATAATAATAGCTTTTATTTAACCTGGCAGGTGTCAGCTAAGAGCTGCTTTTCATACCAACCAGAGCCAAACAAAATTACAATACAAAGTTCATGCATTAGGAAAAATATAAACAATGTGAATGTAAACCTATTAAGAATAACTCACAACTAACACCAAAAAATAGGGAAAATGTTATTTCCGACTGAAAAATAAGATAATAGTACAGTTGACAGAAATACTATTACAGAAGATAAAAACTAGACAATACAAAGAATTATTACCTACTTACATATTTCCGAAAACAAAGTTTTTTACTTTTGACTTAAAATGTGGCACTGACAAGACCTTAATGCTGGCAGGGAGCTTATTATAAAAAAATTGTTTTTAATAATCAACCGGCCGCCAGCATTCTGACCAACCCAGCGCCGTATGCAAGAATAATTAATTATCTATTGTATTTGATTATTTTTCCCTTCTGGCATGTGGTTACGATTACCCATTCCGCAAGGGCAAACTAAATCACCCCCCCCCCCCGCAGCATTAACTAAAGGATTATTAGGTACCCATTCCTTTCAACGTTTCATCATAGACTACTTTCTGAAGCAAATATTTGTTAGAAATGTTGATGTAGTAAATTTACTTTTATTAGTGCACAGTGTCTTCCAGAAGTCGACGTCAAGCAGGAAACGGGGGATAGGCCAAGTCATAATAGTTTTAGTTCCAATTACTACAAATTTCGATTTCTTCGAATACACCAACATGCACATCATTAATTCATGGGGAATGTAGATGCAAAGTTAGAGCTGCAGCTATTAGGCTTTAACGTGAGAGGTACCCAAATGCTGCTTGTCATCCCGATCACCGAGTTTTTGTGAATGTGAACCGTTTGCTCTCAGAGGGACGATTCAAAATCAAGCACATTGCGAAAGAAGAATTTCCTTCCGTTACGAGGACGTGGTACTACAAGCAGTCGCAAAAGACCCGATTACTTCAGAACGTCAAATAGAATGGAGTACGGGAATACCCAAAAGTACAGCCCATCGAATCTTGCGCAAGAACGAGCTCC